GGGGTGCATCGATTAGTTTGGGACCGAAGAGAGCTGAGCCAAATAGTTGAGCGCATTTCTTCGGGACCTTCTGGTCTTAGAGTTAACTCTATGGTACAATGGTGCACTTTGTATATCTGTCAAAGTCCTTAATTGCATTTAAGCTAAATATGGGATATATTACTAATGTGGACTAAATTTTCAATTTCTTGCGACAACGGATCAACGACCATTCCACTTCACTTCTTATTATCACTATATTTTTTGAGAGTTCTTCATGGGATTTGAGTTGACATTGTCACTGTGCCCATAACTGTGTGAAAAAAGAACTGAACATAAAAACTGATCGACTCATCTATTTCTTGAAGCTTCGAGTTGTGTGGGGAATAATGATACGGACGGGTGTAACAAAAGAAAATCACTAAAATTTATTCGTTTTAGAAGCTCATTTTGAATGGATTTACGAAATTTTAGTCTTCACACAGCAAACCTGCTACACACCGCGAATAAGAATCAATTTTGTGTTTTTTTTTTACCACGCAATAGAAAGATGGGGAAGTAAACTAATTTTATTGCAAATCTTCATCGCACAACTATGCTCAGAAACATTATTCTCAAGGCTGATAATATTCCAGAGAAAAATATAACAGAAGTAACAAAAGTATTTTTATTTCCATTTGATTATATAAGGAAGGCCTCCATGAATCTGTTTCAATTTATTTGGTTTTATTTCATTTCACCACGAAAATCATAAATTCGCTCTTTTCATATGGCATTCTTGCTTGTTTTTTGACATCCACACATGGTGAAACAAAAAGTTGCTTTCCCATCCAGAATTTTACGAGCGCTCATGGCCGCTACAATCTGGCTGAGTTTCTGGTAGGGAACATTCGATTTGATGTTTGGGTTATGTCGTTTGACGTATAAACGATCAAATTTGACCGTCTACAGGTCAAACGACACAAGCCAAACTTGAAATCATATGTTCCCTACCAGAAACTCAACCAGATTGTGGCGGCCATGAGCGCTCGTAAAATGCTGGATAGAGAAATACCGTTGCAGCGGTGAAGGCAAAGATGAATACTAAGATAAAACTGTCGGAAGAAAAACTTTCTATTTTTGTGTCCTCTTTCACGGTCCCTTTCATCCAATGAATACCCCCCGTATTCAAGGTAATTTTGTGGTTTTGCTGTCCCCTCGGTAGAGATGAAATTTTGCGCTCATTTTTATCAAAACAAACACACCAAAATCAGAGGTGTCCCATTTTTTAATTACTCGATTAACAACTAATCGATTTTTTTTGCTCACTGCGCTGCCATTTTTCCATCAATGAGAGTGCAGCACATGTCTTAAACGATGGGTGATGATCCTCTGGAGAAGTTAATGCTTATAGAGATTGCTAAAGTATGATTGTGTCAGTGATTTGTTTTCATCGGGAAAATTTTCCGCTATGAAGTTTTTTTTCCCGATGAAAACATTTTGCGTATACGTATACGTGACGTAGTGTGCGTACGATAAACGTCAGCAATCTCTATATCGGCGATATCGGCTAAAGCCCTACAGTAAAAGTATGGACGTCTGTCAAAAGTTGTTCCAATCGAACCATCAAAATGCACCGCTTTGCTCGATTGGAACAGCTTTTTTCAGTTTTGTGGTGACAGTCGTCCATACTTTTACTGTAGGGCTTTAATATCGGCATGACTTTTCGGTTCGTTAATCGATTAATCGATAATTCGAATGAAAATCGGCCATCACTAGATGAATGTGAAACGTGAAACGTCATTTCAAATATATGGACCGTACATAAATAATGATACAATTTGAAAGGGACCGGGACTCATCACAAATTACGTCCACACGGTAACTGAAATAAACACGAGTGTTCACCGGTTGATGTAACTGACCGAGACACGCCGATGGAACACGATTCAGGACAATGTATAAACACCACGCCAAATTTCAACAGTCGGCTTGAAGTTGAGGAATGTGAACCCGCATAAACGCGAACCATCACATGACCTTACCGATAATGGTTATAAATTGTTTATAATCCCTGCTAAACTTCAACTGAAATGGTTATGGAACCTTACATGAACGTTTGTGTGATAAAGTTTTAACCTTATGTGTTATGGTTTTTTGGAAGCGGACCTTACAAATAATGGGTTGTTAAGAACCATTACCATTCCAAATTCTTGTTTTCTCCATACATTTTCGGAAAGAGAACTATATTAGAACGTTTTTACTTATGGTTTGAGAACATTAATGGTTATGGTTATGGTAGTCAGTAAGGTCCATTAATGGTTTTGTATTATCGCTCAACTTTACGTGAAATATATCGTGAATTGGTAATCAGTAATTTACAGGCAACCAATTCGCGATATATTCCACATAAAGTTGATCGATGTTACAAAACCATTCATGGACCTTACTGGTTACCATAACCATTACCATTAATGTTCTTAAACCATAAGTTAAAAGGTTTTAGTAAAGTTTTCTTTCCGAAAATGTATGGAGAAAACAAGAATTTGGAATGGTAATGGTTCTTAACAACCCATTATTTGTAAGGTCCACTTCCAAAAAACTATAATACTTAAGGTTAAAACTTTATCATTAAACGTTCATGTAAAGTTCCATAACCATTTCAGTTGAAGTTTAGCAGGGATTATAAACAATTTATAACCATTATCGGTAAGGTCAATTTATGGTTCGCGCTTATGCGGGAAGTACCCCCTTCACATCCAGAAGAGGAAGCGACTCTGATTACACTGAAACAAAGAGAATAGTTAGGAATACTATTTTGCAGAAAACACTTATTTTCAGTATAACTACGCTTAATACCGTCAAATCTACCATGACTTCAGTATAGTTTACTATAAATATATTCAAATTTACTATAATTCTGTCAAAACTACTATGGTTACTCAAACGGTATAGTAGTTTTGAAAGAAAAATTAGTAAAATTAAATGAATTTCGTTTCTGGTGGGAGTATTTAATTTAAACCATCAATATAGTATTTTTGCCAATGGATTTTGTTTCTGTGTAATCAGATGGTTCGGGACGCCTTTCACCAATCCGTTGATGATCAAACCACAGAAAAACAGACGTAACTTTTCATTCTGGATCTTCGTTCACGCATTTAACGATAGATTTGAATATTATAATTTCCTCGAACTACTCACCGCAGCATCACTTTGACGTTTCTATATATGCTGATTAGCTTGCATACAATATTGTTTGCGACTTTGCGAGCAAGTTTGGTTTCCGCGAGAAGCCCAAGAGATGCCGTTACTGAGCTCCTATGTTTTGAGATGTTGTCACGAAAAACTTATCCAAAGAGTAACGTTTGTTTGTCTGTGATCAAACTTTCAGCTCGACTGAAACTGTGCTGAACATCATTGTTTTACCAATTTCAACATTTCAGCACAATTCGCCAAGCGCAACGTTTTCCAAGTCGAACCTGACCAGGGATGTTCCGGATGTGGACCTTACATCTTCCCGGGCAAGTACCATTCTATTTTCGCTTCCCTTTAGCTAAAACCAACCTACTTGTGGACCACATTTTTCACATCCTCAAAAGATGACCAACGAATATGAAACTCCTCCAAGTGACAAAACATCATCGTACATAATCGGCCATAATCCCCTTAAAAATCACCATCCAATGCAATCTACGAATTTCATGCAAGATCTCAGCAATAGTGGAGAAGGTGAAGCACCCCACTCACAGAAGATTCGGGACTTCTTTCGCCAACCTGTCGACCATCGTCCCGCCAACAGTGTACCAATCACTTATGTTCTACCACATTCGGCAGTATCAAACTCTGATGCATATGATCGCTTTGGCAGTCGGAAATGGAACCAGAGGGGCTACTTTGGACACGTGGTACATTTTCATTTGTTTTGCTTATTAAATGGACAAAATTGACATCAAAAACAAACAACCTTTACAAAATGAACAGCTCTTTTCTTTACCTAGCCATACTTGCTATACACGCTATTTCAAAACTATCGAAATTTGGGTAGAATCCACCCAAAAATGAACTTACCCGAAAATGAACCTACCCAAAAATGAACCTACCCAAAAATGGGTAAACTGTGTTGGGAGTGACAAGTTGACAAATGTACAACATCGACTTGAATCCGATCGACGTTGTTCATTTGTCTACTTATCACTCCCATTTTTGGGTAGCTTCAGTTTTAACCGATCTAGGTGGATTCTACCCAAATTTGGGTAGTTTTGAAATAGCGTGTACACAATTTTCACATGGAATCAATGTCCTGCACTAAAGATACTGACATATGACTTTGACACAGAGGCGTAGCCAGAGGGGGCAGGGGCTGCCCCCCTAAACTCAGCAACACAAAAGCTTTCGGGGAAATGGCAGTCGGCCAAATTTTCCATAGTAATTTTTTTTCGCCCCTCCCTAGCTCGAAACCTGGCTACGCCCTTGCTTTGACAGATAATCGATTGTTCCAATTTTGGCAATTTTTACATGTCGTCCGTCTCTTTATAAATTCAGCCTCTTTATCCTGCACTATCCGAACGACCGAACGCTTATCGACTCCCGAGAGGAGCTTGTGCATGTTTTTACAAATTTCAACAACGTTTTTGGGTCAAATGTTTGAGAAGATACATTTTTTTTATAAAACTCGTTGGTATACTTTTCCGCTTAATTCTGAGAAACACTAATGACATTTTCCGAGTGCTTCCATGTGATCGAGAATACTGCAGTCCCAGTAGCAAGTTGTGGATAAACATTCCATCGGTTCTTTAATCTACTTCATTTGGTTCAACAAATTCGAATATGTCCAAAGTAAGCACGACGGTACACCAAAGTTTCGCGAATTTAAATTTTACATTAAATGAAGTATAGGTATTTAATCGTTTGTAGGTAACGTGGCAGCTTTACTGCCTGTTGTTTGCCCTGGTTGAAGACGTTTTCTTACCCCGTTCTCCGCAATTTCCGGATCGAGCAATCACATTTGCCTTACCTGATAGGCTCCAAATTCAATATCAAGATCAACAATTGTTCACTAGGGATGCTAAAATTTTCGTAAACCTGTTCACGTGGTTGCGTTATTGAAAAACCCCCGATATGTGCATTTGAGAATATACGAAGCGAACATCCTCCTGACCCTTTTTTAGCGAACGATTTGTCCGATACAGTATAGAGCGATGCAAATAGATTGGTTATACCCGAAATGGACCATTATACATTGTATATTTGTATCCTCGAATATGGGAATCTGCTCTGTGACTCTACACTATTATTACCTAAAATTATGTCTCCTATCGTCGATTATAAGTGTTACCGCGTTACCCTACACTACGTGTGGCGTGCCGCTGCTTCAAGTGCTGCTATTTAACGTATCGTCGAGATGAGTAACCTGCGGATCAGGGTGACCAGAAACGTCACTGAGATTTCATGCTCACCAGTTTGCGAGCTCGGGCACGGGCCTCCTGCCGGGTGACGGTGTATTCGAACCAGAGAATGTTGGGAATCAGAGTGGTATCCCGCAGGAGAAACAGCTCGGACACCTTCCACGAGACCACCATCGGGAACAAGGGCGTCAGGAACCAGTGCGTCAGGCTGAACCATAACGTTCCGACCACGAGACCGACGACGACTCCCACCATCACTTGACTGAGGGTGTGATACTGCAGATAGATTCTGCCGAAGCACACGAGGAAAGTCGCCACCGAACAGACGACGAGCACCAGTAACCGTACCAGCCGCTCCATTCGGGCGTTATTGTTGTTCATATGGTGCAGTCTGAAAACACGCAAGCAGGTATTAATCATTCCCCAAGCCTTTGTTTGGCATCCTAATTAAACTGTTACCTTATTAAAATGAACAGCAGTACATACTGCGTGAAAAAGCACATGAACTGCGAATGACTAGAAGGCATCCCGTACTCAGTCCAGATCTGCGCCCGAGTCATCGGTCTCGGTTCCTGAATCCAGTGCTTCAGCACCATGTTAACACACTCGTTGCAGAGAGTCCCGATGAAAAATACAATCTGAAAACCACAGGACCATGCAAAACAATACCAAGAACCTATTACTTCTACTATTTACTCACAGTGTGCAAATCTCGTCGAAAAAGTATCAGTGCCACGAAGCCGGCCCCTATTCCTAACGGTGCTAAGCTGATCCATGCCAGCAACTTTCCCAACAGATCACCTGTAAATATTCAAACGAAAGAAAATTAATCGCATTCCAAAATTGACACACATTCAGATCCAAGGACGATGGAAAGGACCTTACCTTTGGGATATTCTACGAGTGTAAGCGTAATTGGCTGCCAGTCGGAATGGTTGTACCCGGAATAGTGGGCTTGCTGCTGGACCACCGAATCTATGTCTGGTGACGACATTTTCTCCTTGTTGGTGGTTGGTGTCCTTTATTTTTGTTTTGACATTTGCTCCTTGGAATTCCTGCTACTGATGCTGCTATTGGTCTTTTTTGTGAGTGCAAAGACGACGAGGACGACGACGACGGCAGCAACAACCCTTTTTGCTCTGCGAATGGGTCAGCACTGTGATTGGTTCGTTGGTTCTCTGTGGGGATGTACAGGCGCTGTGTTGTCATTTTTTTCTTTCTCACTTTTTGGGATGACAGATGGGCATTCTCTTTCGTAGGAGAAGGGAAGAAAGAAGAGGATGCGAGAGTCCAAATTACAGGGTGATCCGTATTGCGCCACCGTGTCAAATTTGTGGATGTGTCATCCCAGGAATCTTTACGGAGCATGTTCACGGAATAGAATAATCGATGATCAATATTGGGAGATTGCCGTTAAAGCTCGACGCATATGTCGCCACTGCATGATGATGATAATGTTGACAGACTGCATATAAAATTCGTGAAAATTAGCATTAAATTATAATTTTCATCAATCCTGCGTAAAATCCTTCCAATATAACATTCGAATTGAAGAAGAAAATGTTTTCACGATCAGACTGATGTGCATCTTTGACTTTTCCAGATGAACTTTCATAAGATATATTCATTTCATTTCACAGCTCCATCAATGCTGCATCGTACATATGATGTAAACAGAAGTAAATTGCTCAATTACTCAAAATAATGATGATTTGTCATCTTGTTATCACTTTATAAACCATCGAGCACCATTTTATAGTATGGTGTGTGTTGAGTAAATCAAGTTCCGTTGCGTTTTCCGTCGAAAATTGTGAGTGTCAATATGTTTACCTAAAAAAGGCCAAAATGAACATTTATTGAATATTGGCGTCCTATGCAACCATTTCTCCATTATCACCAGCATGATACAATTTTTCCTAAGTAAATTCACTTAATTTCCACTTTCATCCTAGTGGAAATCGCACATATTCACCATTTTCCGAAAAATGCAATTGGCGTCTTGCAGTGAAACTTTTCCAAACTTTCGCCACCTACATTTCGAAGTGAGCACTACTAGAAGGAGGATAGTTTCCAAATTCTCCAAGTAAAACAGACGATTTTTGGGACAAATCGGTACATAAAGAAAACTAATAATTTCCGGTTAACTTTTGCTTGAATCGTGTGAGAAAACGTGTTTGCAAACTAACTGTTATTATTTCGGTATGGATCGGAGATGTTTTCATGGAAAATAATGCACAACAAGTTTGCACCCATAGGTAGAGGTTACCTACTGCGCAGCTGCATTTTTTGGAAAATGGTAAATAGGTACGATTTCCACTAAGATGAAAGTGGAAATTAAGTGTATTTACTTAGACAAGATTGTATCATGCAGGTGATAATGGAGAAATGGTTGTATAGGACGCCAATATTCAATAAATGTGAAGTCTGAATACATTAAGGGTACAGCAATACACGTTAAAATTTAATGTATTGAAGATGTCTGCTGATGTTTCCTACATTACAATTTCTATTCGGGTCGTTAATTTTTTACCGATAATTTTAGGTAATCGTACACGCAGAAAAAAATATCGTCGAAACAAAAATATTTGACGTAAATTTAAACGTAAACTCAGTTTGTTCTGGCCACAAAAATAAATTAGGTTGATTTCAAACGTATTCCATGTTTGTAATCATGTGAAATCAACGTTTAAAATAAAAATAATGTTACGTTTATTTTAAAAATATCCGTGTTGAAAACAAACGTGTTTGTTTTTGTTTAGTTTGACAGCTATGCGAACAAAAATAAATATTTTAATTTTAAACATGCTTTTCATGTTTAAAATAAACATACATATTTTGAAATTATTTTAATAGTTGAGTGCAGGGTAAAGCAAGGTGAAACGGATTGCAAAGAAATGAAAAAAAAAGATCTTCGGGCAGGGCATCTAAATTCCTGCTCTTTCACCCTGCGATTAAGGGTGACCTGTGGGTATTGGGGTCCTGGGCCGAGATGCGGGCACCCGTCGGAGTGGGTGTCCGGGGGTTCCAGTTCAGTGGAACCGGTGAAAATTTGTTATATTAGCGTCGTTTTGTTGTTCTGACATCCTCATATCGGTTTCATTATACATTCGGTGTCGGAGGAGGATCCGGAATGGATTCAAAATCCATTTCGGATTTTCGTTGTCCTTTCGAAGTCACGTGTGGAGGAGGATGATATAGGGATCGGCATCAGAAACTGAAGTTGATACTGTTGGGTTCCGCCGGTTTTGTCGAACTGGTTTCCGGATCCATCTTTGGTTTTGCCACTTTCAGGCCGTTTTTTGTTGAGTTGAGCAAGGGTGGGGCACTAGGTGGGGCATCTTTTTCCGAATGTAACAAGATGGAAATAAAAAGGCATGACACGCTAAAAACTGTTTACCCAAATCCTATATTGTTAAAATAAACATGCTTTTGAATTTAATTCAAACATAAATACACTGAAGTCTTTTTTTACACGGTTTTTTTTACGCGGTTTTTTTTACATGGTTTTCCACGATTTACACGGTATGTTTTTAACGATTTCTCGACAACGATACAACCTATCGACTTGATTCCAATCACATTATCCGTTTCAAGCTATAGGTAATCGAATGGCATACTTAAAAAAAATCACAATTTTTGGTGTAAATACAGAAATTTTTAAAATATGTCTATATGGACCATATCATGCTTTTATTACAAATGGCATCAAAATCCGATTTTTTTAAAAACATTTAAGCATTCGAAAAATCAAAATCTCGTAGGTTTTTTTTTACACGGTTTTTTTTTACACGGTTTTTTTTACACGGTTTTTTTTTACACGGTACGTATCTCCCGTGTAAAAAAAGACCTGAGTGTATTTTAGTTTTAAACATGCTTTCAATTTACTTTGAATAATTTATTCATATGTTTAGAATATAAATATTTATATTTTTATTTTAAATGAACAAAATTTGTATCCGTGAACCATAGAGGTAACTCTAAGACCAGATGGTCCCGAATAAACGTGCTCAACTTTTTGGCTCAGCTCTGGTACTATCATCAATCAATACGAAACTAACGATTTTAAATTGGCTCACTACTTGACTAGCCTATTGGTCCCAAGCAAACGATTAACGTATCCCATTCTAGTCGAAATTCTAGTACTACGCAATGTTTGTTTTGATTCGCTATGAAAGTTTGACAAATAAAATGAGGGGTTTTACGCACATGAAAAATATCAGTCATTTAATTTGAGTGCAATGACGCGTTCATCTAGATAAAATTGATAAATAGCAGATTTTTAGCGATGGGCCCAATATTAGATCCATAGGCCAACATTCGAATTCAATCATGCATGACTACTGCCGAAGTAATCATGGCTCAGACTCAATAAGGTGAAGTGGGAATTTAAATACTTTTTAAGCTTTTTAGATATCATATATTTTTAAGTGAAATCTCTCTCGATTTAAAAATAATGCATCGCCCCTCACCATCAGCGAACGTACCCAACATAAATAGATCGACGAAATCGCGTGTAGATCGATTTTGCCCGCTGTCAAATGGTGCTGAATTTCATCGCCGTAAGGTTGTCGGTCCTGTCGATCTGTCGACACATTCTTTTTCCGGCGAGATCCTCAGGTGGACGTATCGTAGTTTTTATAATTTTAGCCGTAAAATTATATCCATCTTCCCAAAATGAAAATCTGGAAGGATATCTTCACCGGTAAGTGCAAAGTGATCGATTCCGGGCATCGGTTGGTGATGGATTCTACCCCAGGAAGTGCATCTGTCTGTTGAAAACGACGACGTAAATTTGATGGGCGAGAAAAATTGCTGATTATGGATGGGTCGCCAAATGCTGCAGCTTCTTCTTTTTCTTTGTGTTGGTGTAGTGCCGAAGAAAGTAAATTTTAATACATACGTGTAGTGAAAATTGAACTTTCGTGGACTGGATAATAGCGTAAAATCTGAATTCATGAATGATACGTAAAAAATGCTTATGTTCTTGCTTATCTACAACCAGGCGTCAGGTTTTATAGTGATTTTTTTTTTATATCTTTCGTGAGCAGTTTTGATTTTTGCTAGCAGTAAACAATGTGAATTGGAAGGTTAGGAATGTTCTGGCTGGAACGGTTCTAGAAAAAGCATGCCCAAGAGCATTGACCTTTTGTTTCTAGTGACTCATCAGGCGCCTGTCTAGAAATTAGGTGCATCACATTTAAGCAGCTGTTCTTCATCACCCAGCACCGGATGTCAGTACATGGAAGATTTTGCGGTGTTGCTAATAGTACATTTTCCCATTTCAGGTGACGAGATGTTCTCGGACACCTACAAACTGAAGCTGGTCGATAATGTGATTTACGAGGTCTACGGAAAGCATGTATCCCGTGCGCTAGGAGACGTCCAGCTGGATGGTGCGAATCCATCTGCCGAGGAAGCCGAAGAGGGCACTGATGCCACCACCGAGTCTGGTGTCGACGTTGTGCTAAACCACCGTCTGGTTGAAACCGGATTTGGCGATAAGAAACAGTTCACCACCTATCTGAAGGATTATATGAAGAAGTGAGTATTGTTAAAATTGAATTAATATTGGCTTCATCAGTGTCATCGAAACGATAAAAAAGTAACATTGTCAATTCAATACTGCGAAGGGTCGCTGCACAAAACGAGTGCGCACTGAAAACGAATCTTACTCGTAGAGTGAGTCACTGTTTCGTGTGGAGAAATGCATGGAAATGTTGTGCGATTTTCTATTATTCTCAAACCCATTGAATCCATTTTTTTTAAACGCATTTAAATTAGTAAATTTAGATTAGTTAAATGGCAAAAGAAATGCAATGAAGACAGGTTTATGCAATCTGATATTAAGCTAAATAGAAACTGGCTTTGAAACATGCACCGAAAGGGCTGTTCATAAACTACGTAGATCATTTTGAGAGGTTTTAGACCCCTCCTCCCCCGACGTAGACAATTTTCCATACCGCCCTGTAAGCTGATAGCTAAGATATGCTCTCCACGCAATGCGCCTGCCCTGGAGTGGAGGGGGGGGGGGAGTTCCAGATGATTGCATCAAAACAATATCTGAACATAACATGTAACGTTTAGTGCACAGTGTTAAAATCCGGTAGTTTACAACCGATTCTAATGGATTACTCATTTCTGACCATCCATATGGGACTGTTATGCTTTTATGGGCTGATCAGATCAGTTGCCAGGTTGGTCAGCTCAATCCCGAAGGTCAGCCTAGAGTCTACCATCACTTTGGCGTGAGGTGCCTCCTAGTAAGGGAGGAATGGGTCCAGACGTTCAATCATGGTGCAAACGGATCTATTAAACGGCATGGTCTTCCAAGTCGAACCAGGAACCGGGAAAAGACCGGGTATTTCGATGGCAAATCGGGAAAAAATATAGTGTTCACTCTTCGAAAAACAAAAACAATTTTTTTGACCTCGAAAAAAATCCTTTGAATTGTACTAGATCAGTGGTGTTCTTGCCCATTGGTCATCAATGGACTAGATTTTCTGGATACAGTTGCTTTGACTTGTAAAAAATCCAAAAGCATTTTGAGGAGATTTTGGAATGAATTCTAGGGATACTATCTCCAAGAAAATTTGACTAGAACTTGACTAGAAGTTGTGAGCAGTGATCATCTGTGCGCTCAGGGTTGCCAAAAGGAAATTGATTTTTCCTCAATTTAGCGTGACATAATAAATGTATCGCCCCTTATTAGGAAAAGAATGCATTGTATAGTGTGAACATTTTATTTTTATCGATTTTTCTGTCACTCATTGAACTTAATAGATCCGGAGCAAATTTCTCTTTAGAATCAAATAAATTTTAAATTTCAGAGGCTCGAATTGTTCATTTTTCAGGATAGATATTTTTCACTGATTTCATACGAACATTTTTTTTTTTTAATTTCCGTCTTAAAAATAATTATACCGTAAGGTCGCCATCCATCGCTCACGTAAACACTCCTCCAGAGCGTAAAATTATTGACTGCTTAGGTTGAATGTGAAAGACCGTTTGTACCACGGGACTGACATCAAATGTTTCCACTATAGGATTTCCAGGGCTGTTACAACAGGCGCGGATTTCGCGAATTTTCGCGGATTTGAACTGAAACCTTTCCGTCCCGGATTATTTTGCTATCATCAATTTTGTTGAAGATGCTAATTTCAAATAACAGACTGTAGTGGTAATTTTTATACGATAGATGGAGTAGATGAAAGCATAGAGTTGATAGTTCAATTTTGTTGTTCATTTGGCTCTCAATTTTTTACCGGTTCAAACCAAACACCCTGCAAATAACCGAGACATGATCTCAATTCCATAAGTCACACCGGATTTACACGGAAATTCCCTGGGATCTGTCCAATGTGAGACATTCTCATATTTTTTTTTATTTCCAATATGAACATGGCATTTTTCGTTGTAAAATCATAAACGAATCGTATATATGCGAGTAATTGCCATGTATACCGGATATTCTAGGTTCTCCAAATCGTCCTGGAGTTCAGTTGATTTTTGTTCTACTATATCAACCAAGACTGCAATAATGTCTGATCGAAATATGTCCAAACAGATTCAAAGTGTCTATGTGGATTGTACCCGACCTATTGCTACGTATACAAGATGTTATAAATAGGTTCTGAAATCATTCTGGAGATCAGATTATTTTTCTACTAGATCACCCAAGACTAATTCAATCTCTGTAGTATCGAAATATGCCCAAACAAATTTGCAGTGTCTATGTGGATCATGCCAACCTATTTCCGTGTATGCCAAATGTTCTAGGATTTCCAAATTCACATTTCGATACTACAGATATTATCCTAGTCTTTGTTGATCTAGTAAAACAAATCATCTGAACTGCAGGACGATTTGGAGAACCTAGATCATCTGGTTTACTTGGAAATAATAAAACATTATCCATATAGACACTATTAATCTGTTAGGACATATTTTGATACTAGAATAAATCATCTGAACTCCAGAACGATTTCTTCATCTTCTTATTCACATTTCAAGCTTATTGATTAGTGCATATCAGCTTATTGCGTGCTCTTTGCGTGCTCTCAACTTCTCAACTTAGTGTTGTTTTTTTTTTTTTTAACCTTTATTAAGGAGATTTTTAGCCTTTGGCTAGTTCATCTCCAAAGTGTTGTAAATGCACTTTCACAGTTATTAATTGAGAGCTTTCGATGCCAATACCAATGCATGAATTCGCATATTGTGTGGCAAGCACAATGATACTCTATGCCTAGGGAAGTCGAAAAAATTTCCAGCCCGAAAGATTCCCTCGACCGGACCGGGAATCGAACCCGCCGCCTCCGGCTTGGTAATACCGTGCCTTTATTGACTAGGCTATGAGGCCCAGAACGATTTGGAGAACTTAAAACATCTGATATACATGACAATCCGATGATGTGTCCGATTCTGTGACACTACCCCGAATGTCACTACCCCGAACGCCGTTACCCCGAATGGCCATTACCCCGAATGCCCTACTACCCCGAATGGCCATTACTCCGAAATTAAGACAAATGGAAGAACAGCAAGGGATCAAAAGAAGGGTACATTTTTTAGAAGGAAATTTCGTTTTGGAATTTATACTGAATACAAATGATAATTTTTTATTGGAATTTAGAAGCACTTAATTTGCTAATATAATTATTATGTCTAGGTACATATAAGAGCATTTTTAAAATTGATTCATGTAAATCAGTGAAGCAAGAGTTCACTATGATTCGCGAACTTTTCCCTACGCATAGCCCATTATTATGTGATTACTGCGCACTACTTCCAACACTATGTTCAACATACAGAACAAAAGTAAAATGGTCATTCGATTTTCGTAATGAAAGTTAAAAAAAAAATTTAAAACCGTTTTTTGTGAATGCGATTCAACGAGGCGGCTCATTTGTAAGAGCAGAAAGGCTTCAGATTGTGAACAGCAAACAGCAAATTAAGTGTTTCTAAATTCCAATAAAAAACTATCATTGATTCTATAACATTCCCCAGAAAACCATTCCCCAGAAAACCATTCCCCAGAAAACAATTCCCCAGAATGCACCATTCCCCAGAAAAGCATTCCCCAGAATTTATAATTCCCCAGAAAAGATGATGAAATTAGTAATTTATCACTTTTTTTTTTGGTCATTTGATATTATATTTCAGTTTTATATTACAGAACAGCTTAATATACATATTTTATTTATTACAAAGCGCCAATGCAAGGCCCTGAATATGGATCTCTCCATTCATTGACGTAGAAAAACGTAGGTTGCTTAATCCTTTCCGAATATTTCAGAGTTTTAGACACAATGATTTTTATAATGTAAGGCGTCCATAAATATACAGGTCCGCAAGTATCTTGCACACTGAATAATACATCTTCTGAATACAGATTTTCTCGATAAATTTTACACATTTGATTTAATATATTTTTCATGATTAAACTCTCTGATTAGTTTCACTTTACTAAATTGATGATACACTACGTTTACTTTTATGAACTACGTATTTATCAATTCCAAACCATTTTAAAGTTCTTAGGAAATGACAACCTTCAAGTTTTCGAGCACTTCGTTCACCATTTAAAAAGTCAAAGGGTCTAATATGCAATCCAATTCAACCAGTCGGTAACTACGTAGACAGTTTTTTTTTTGGGATTCTTGACCCCCCCCCCCCCCCTCCCCCTGCGTAGACAATTTTCCATACAAATTTTTTAAAATTTGTATGGACCGTGCACAATTGCCAACCCCCCCTAAACTGTCTACGTAGTTTATGAACAGACCCTAAGAAGTTTTTCTTTTCTTTTTATATACGCGAAAGAAGATTCCAGGAGTGACTATAATAAACAAAAATAGTCAATCTAATACATGGCATACTTTTCTGGGGAATGGTACATTCTGGGGAATGACTCATTCTGGGAAATGCTTTTCTGGGGAATGGTGCATTCTGGGGAATGGTTTTCTGGGGAATGTTATAGAATCCTATCATTTGTATTCAGTATAAATTAGAAAAGGAAATTTCCTTCTCAAAAATTTACCCTTCTTTTGATCCCTTGCTGTTCTTCCATTTGTCTTAATTTCGGGGTAGTGGCCATTCGCGGTAGTGTACTATTCGGGGTAACGGCGTTCGGGGTAGTGTACCGTTCGGGGTTATGGCGTTCGGGGTAGTGACATTCGGGGTAGTGTCACAGAATCGCATGATCCACATAGACACTGTGCATCTGTCTGGAAATATTTCGATACTAAGGACATTGTCCCAATCTCGGTTGATCTAGTAGATCAAATTATCTGAACTCCAGGACGATTTGAAGAACCTTTAACATCTGGATTACTCGCAAATAGCATTATTGCAGTCTTGGTTGATCTAGTAGAGCAAATCAACTGATGTCCTGGCAGAGTCCTGTCTCATAGACACTTTGACTCTGATTGGACATTTTTCGATACTACAGACATTATTGCAGTATTGGTTGATCTAGTAGAACAACGGTTTGGAAAACCTATAATTTCCTGTATACATAGTAATAAGTCGTGCATGATCCACAAAGTCACATATATACGATTCGGTTATGATTTGACAAAGAAAAGTAGGGTAGAGCACTACTTCGTCGTAATCGCCCTATCGACCAGAAAAGATCAATAATATCAATGATTTCACCGTGCAAGTTTGTTCCGATGCGTTAGTTCATTAGCGACAACATAAATCCTGTTAGAGCGCATTGTATTAATATTTACGCGCTTTGCTTTCAAAACATAAGAAGCACCCCTAGCGAATCCCCTTTTTCTACGTTTATCCGTAGGACGAAGAACATCTAATGGCGTTTCAAAGCGTTAGGACGGAATTGAAATTCGTAGAACGAATTTAGAATCAAGAAGCAGTATTAGATTTCAAACAATATCTCAACAATTTGTGACTCTTTATCAAATCCAACGGTACTTATGGAAAGAATTTAGAAGTCATCTTTGACAGGATGGGCCTCCCTTAGCTCAGTCGGTAAAGGCGCAGCTACAAAGCAAGACCATGCTGGAGGTGGCTGGGTTCAATTCCCGGTCCGGTCTAGGAATTTTTCGGGTTGGAAAATTTCTCGACTTCCCTGGGCATAGAAGTATGATTGGACTTTGCCACACAATTATACCAATGCAAAAATGGTACAGGCATCGAAAGCTCTCAATTAATAATTTACATTTAGGACAGCAAAATACGTCAGAGATGCAAATGAAAATGCATTAATTTTTTTTTAATAATGTTTCATCGAATCTAGGCCGGTATTATTCAATAGAATCTCATAATGTAAGGGTGTTTTATTATGTTAATTAATTACTCAGAATTTATACCATACATAAATAACTGAAGATAATACAATGTTATTTTTTTTAAATAAAAGGTTACAAACGATACTGCTTTAGCTCAGTCGGTAAAGGCGCAGCTACAAAACAAGTTCATGCTGGACGCGACTGAGTTCCTTTCCCGTCCGGTCTATTAATTTTTCGGGTTGGAAAATTTCTCTACTTCTTTGGGCGTAGGGATGGTACAGGCATAGGCTCTCAATTAAAATTAGAAAATACTTTAAAGAACACTAAGATGAAAGCAGGCAAAAATCTAATATGCTATAAGCAATAAACTTGAAATTCCATGTAGTAGTATACAAATGATATTTTTAGCCAATGAAAACAGTTTTTTTTTGTCGCGGATTAGTATTTGAAGTCGCGGATTTATTTTGAGAAATCGTGGATTTCGCGAATCAAATTTAGAAAATCTTGTAACAGCCCTGCATTAAATTTGGTTTTGAAAGTTGGTGCACGGGTAAAAAGCGAGGTTACGCGACGCCACTGAATATTTTATATTATAAAAAAAAATCAAATAGTGCCTGAAGAACAGGCATGGAAAATCATTTACATCCATTTGGTGTATTCATTTACATTTCATTTGTCTCTAATTTTTTCATCAACAGAATTCCGTAAAATAATGTATGAAGCTTACAACTGTTGTGAATAACTCAAATCACATCAAAACCTTCAAAAGCTTCATACATCATGGAATTCTCGATGAAAAAAGTTAAGAGGCATAATGTGCCATAATGATTTTCCATGTCTGGTCTTGAAGTTAGTTTTCCTACTTCTATGTCAATAAATCCTAATTTCGTTCGCTCTTATTCTTTCCTCACCTCTCTTGCGCGCAGACTGGTCGCCCGGTTGGAGGAGAAGAACCCCGAAGAGGTGGAAGTCTTCAAGACCAACATCAACAAGGTGATGAAGGACCTGCTCGGACGCTTCAAGGATCTGCAGTTCTTCACCGGCGAGTCGATGGACTGCGAGGGACTGATTGCCATGCTCGAGTACCGTGACATCAACGGCGAGAGTACGCCAGTCCTGCTCTGCTTCAAGCACGGCCTGGAGGAGGAGAAGTTCTAGACTTATCAAAACAACTGTAATGCAACAGTTTGTTGTGTATGTATAGCTAGTTCCGTAAACTGTTTCGAATTCGATGACGGCACGACAATGAACGGCATCGGACGGAGAGCGTACGTCTAATTCTCTCAAACCCATCCAGGACGACTTTGGCAGAGTAAATTCTCTTCTTTATATTTTTTTAAAAGTAAAATTCCTACAAAATTGTTTTGCTTAACGCTTTTATATTTATTTATCTCATATCAGATTCAATTTTTTTTTCGTAATTGTTTTGTAATAAGTAGGACACAATGAACGGAAACTATTCTTCATGAGCAGCGAAATCACAATCTTCTTTGCGCTAGAGTGGCGATCCAATTGTATACAATTCCAATAGAGCGACAAGACTTGTTAATTTTTTCTTACCATCTTATGGAATCGTCACATTGATTGGCTAAAGCTTGTTCCTGTTGCAACATAAAAAAAATATACAAATGATGATACCATATTGAAACGTCTCGCATTTACTACGGAAAAGGAATCAAAAACAGGAAAGCTTAGTGTACTTCAATTCACCCATCAATACTCGTTGAGCAAGCGGCATAGGTTTACTTTTTTTTTGCTTCCGAAACTGCAGGAATACAATCATCTACTTTGTTTTTAGAATGGTGACCGGAAGGTGGAGGAATACTGTTTTCTCCTTCGCTAAATTTAAATGTCTGGAAAACATAATTAGATCAACCACTGATAATGCTAACCATAAGGAAAAGAATGTCAAGTAAATAAGGAAAAGATATGCACATAAAATCGCCCGGAACAAACTCCACCGCGTTTCCGGGCATGCTAAATGGACTTGATGCTGTTGTTTAGTGTGCACTTTATTATGAAAGAAAATGCCTGTCGTTGGAAAATGTGGGGAATGGATTAAGTCAGTAAGACCACGAGTCAGAGTACCGTAAAGTGCCATAATTCTGCGCAGTGCCTAATTGTGGGTTTTAGGCCAAAGTTTTGCAGTATTGGTCACTCAACCGAGAAAACCGGAAATTTTCGGAGACGAACCAGGTTCGGGCTGAAAGTCTCCTTAATAAAGAAACAACAACAACATAACCAGGAATTTGATAACAATCTCAAAATATGTTTCTCATATTTTGATCGAATTCTTAGACCTATTCTGTGCGGTGAGGTGATCAAAATCATGTACATTCATTTGACCCTAACTTTTTTCATCAATAGAATTCCTTAAACTAATGAATGAAACTTTTACAGGTTTTGATATTAGCTAGATTTATAAATAACTGAAAATTGTACTATTATGCATGATGTCATTTACATTCATTCAAAAACAGTAAAAAGTTTTGTTCGCTCTAATTCCTCATGTATGAGAGATACAGATTTGAGTTACTTGCAAAAGTTGAAGGTAACATCAAGATCTACAAAAGCTTTATGCACCATTTTACAGAATTCTGTTGATGAAAAAAGTTAGAGGCAAATGCATGTAAATAAATGCACGAAAAGAAATGATTTTCGATGCCTGGAGGTGACAGTGAAGTGATGGTGAAGTGAAAATTCTAGATAGAACTGGAGTTAAGGCTCGTTTATGTAAACCAACATATCCATTGAGTAGGGGAAATCTTCCCCTGCTCGATGGTGATGTCGATTTGCCAGAAAATTTGTCGAGAAATCATCGAGAGAAGTAATTGTTTACAAAAGCTGTTAAGTCCTAATTCCAGCTCTATCTAGAATTGTCACCTCACCTCACACGCTGTGCGGAATTGGCATAATCATATCGCCTAACGTTGCAGCTGCTTTAGAACGAACGGGGACTACAAACAGGCCAGATTACCAAATCATTTAACCTAACTTCACAGCCAAACAGACATAAAACTCGCAAGTTGTTCATCGAACACGCATTTAACGGTCAGTTTAAATGTTTCTTAATAGTACGGCCAACAGTGGCGCGGATAGTCAATTCCCTTGCCTTTGGTACATAAGTCACACGGTATGTCTACATGGCACACGCTATGTCTGAAAGAACTTTTTTTTTGCAATTTTTATGTACCTAAGTTTTTTTTTCACAGGAATTTAGTATTGATCCTAACAATCAAATCTGTTAAGGTTTTAAAATATTTCATCTTGGGTTTTTTGAGAAAAAGTGTTTTGAAGTACGCTTAGCCGTTTATGAAGACGTTTATGGACTATTGACTATTCACAACTGTTACGGATCGAAACAAATTTAGCTGATAATGATTCAAAAGAGATTAAAGTAGTCAAACAAAATACTATATTTCAATGGTACAGTAAGATTCCCTGTTCGGTACCGTAAGATATCGTAGCCTTTTTATGATTTCATAATGTTTAAATTAATAAAATAATTCAAATCTTGCAAAAATCTATTATTTGATATTTTACAATATGGAATTTCTAACGGCGCCGGTGGTGTAGTGGTAAGCGTGATTACCTCTCACCCCAGCAGGCCTGGGTTCAATCCCAGTCGGCGCCGCCGAGATGTTCTGAGGCATAACATCTCTGATCACGCCTTCCTTCGGATGGGAAGTAAAGCCGTTGGTCTCCGGTTCATGAGTTGATGGGTCGATAGGTAGGGTCCAGGTGTGGGAGCTGCCTTCCTGGCACGTCGGTAGCATTGGTGCTCAGCACGGAAAACAAGATCGACGGAAAAAAACAAATCAAAGGAAAAAAAAAATATGGAATTTTGGGGCTACTGGAGGTTTCGGTAAACCAACTTTCACAAAAAAGACCTATGAACTTATCCATAAGTTCATCATCGAAACAATGTTTTATCATAGTACCCATATTGTCCAAAACCTTTAGTTGATGATCAAAATTGCATCCTTCCAAAACTACACGTTTATCAAGCAATGGCGTTTATCAAGTACCTACAATGGCAACCAGCGAATCCAAATTGCGCATGCCGAGTCGCATTTGCGGCAGTCACCCCATTTGAAACATTATTGGGATCATTCTTGACTTTTTTCGATTGCAACCCACTTTTAGGAATAGTATAATCTTGCGACCCACCAATATTAGATGGAGATGTTATTAAGCCAAAATGATGTTGAAAATCCGTGATATTGAAACGCCAAAACACCCAAAACATGCATAACAAGATAAAATGGTTAGAATCGAAAAAATTATGGTAAATCGGTAAAACCGTTCAAACATTATCTGAAGACTCTGAAAGAACTATCTTAACGCATGAGTAGCATAAAAAAATCTAGTATTAAAACTACAGTCAACTCTCCACAACACGATGTCCACTTACTCGATATTGAGTTATAGAACCATAGTGAACATTAATTTCATGGCTGCTGTAGTGGCGATGTTGTATGGGATTGATATTCTATAATTCGATGGTCCCTTGAATATCGAGCTAAAGAAAGTTCAATGTATTTAGTAAACTACATCATAACGATGTTAATAAACCGAGTCAAGACCTATGCCAGAATGATTATAAAAAAGCCAAAAAATAAAGGCTTTAAAGCGCGAAAAAAGCCTCAAAACGCTACAATGGCTTTGAAACGTCAAAACACCAACAAGGCCTCACAATCGCTAAACAAGATTAAAACGACCTAGAATTGCATCATAAACGTCTATTGGTCTATTGGTCTACACATCTTATCAACAGTCTAAAAATGACAACTCCTATAATAATCATGACACGTTAAAATGGTCCTAAAATACCCAAAAATGGTCCAACAAATAAGTCAAAATGGCCTAGACTTTCCAAACTGGCTGTATAATGCCAAAATCGCTTTTAAACTGCACACTTAGAAATATCTATTTTTACACGTGACGGAATCCATCTATGACATAAAGGATGAGACGTAAACAAACATGTCATGTAAAATTAAGTGAAGTGTGTGATTACCCCTGCATAATTTTAAAATCAGATTTATTCTACATGCAAGTTAAAAAAACTTATAATCATCTATCTGAATTTATGCGAACTACCTGAGGGTAGCCTGTATCCACTGATGGGTCGCGACTCATAAATTGAGAAACGATGCTCTAATGCTTTTGGCAACAAAGTGATCCTTAATTTCGTCAGCCGGTTTGGAGAGATTCTGAAGTTTCCGGTTTTCACTACATGTAAAGGGTGATACGGTCAAAATTTGGTCAATATCAACTTGACGTATTTCTTTCAATTTTGCATTTAAAAAACCTGAACACCCCTCATTTTGAAGGTGTGTGTGTGTAGAATGTTGCTCCTATTTTGATTTTGGAATTCACTCTTCAGTTGTCAAAATGCCGTCCAAGCAAGAAGAGCACACAGAAAAAAAAGTTGTTGAATATTACATCCAAACTGCTGCAACCAGGTCAATCCATCGGTTGTGTAATATAACGTTGTACGATGTACATCGATTTTGCGAACAAAATAACATCCACTGATGTAATATTCTATCTGCTTTTTGCTATTACATCATTATTTCATACATCAGCTTGAATTACATTGATCGATATTACATTTTTTTTTGCTGTGCAGCGTATCAAAATTTTGCTCGCGCATCGCGAAAATCCGAGCTACTCGCACGCAAAGTTGGCAAAATCGCTAAATGTTGCCAAATCAACCGTTACAAATGTAATTAAAGTGTTTGGGGAACGTTTGTCGACAGCCAGGAAGTCTGGATCGGGGGGAAATCGAAAACCGGAAGCCGCTGAGACGACAAAGAGAGTTGCCGGTAGTTTCAAGCGAAACCCTAACCTCTCTCTCCGAGATGCCGCAAATAAGCTGGGTGTATCGTCTACAACCGTGCATCGAGCCAAAAAACGAGCCGGACTATCGACTTACAAGAAGGTAGTGACTCCAAATCGCGATGATAAACAAAATACGACGGCCAAAGCGCGATCCCGGAGGCTGTACACGACGATGCTGACGAAGTTTGACCAACAATCAATACGAAACTAACGATTTTAAATTGGCTCACCACTTTAGTAGCCTATTGGTCCCAAGCAAACGATTAACGTACCCTATTCTAGTTGAAATTCTATTACTACACTATGTTTGTTTTGATTCGCTATGAAAGTTTGACAGATAACATCAGGGGTGTGTGGATTCATGCAGAACATGCAGGGGTGAGTGAAATAGCTTGGGACTGCTTGGGACCGTTGTTCTGGTACTGAGTGTGCCAAAAAATAATAATGATTTTCTTCGGGACCCAGTGGTCTTAGAGTTACCTCTATGGTTTGACCATAGAGGTAACTCTAAGACTAGTAGGTCCCGAAGAAAATCATTATTATTTTTGGCTCACTCAGTACCAGAACAACGGTCCCAAGCAGTCCCAAGCTATTTCACTCACCCCTGCATGTTCTGCATGAATCCACACACCCCTGATGTTATCTGTCAAACTTTCATAGCGAATCAAAACAAACATAGTGTAGTAATAGAATTTCAACTAGAATAGGGTACGTTAATCGTTTGCTTGGGACCAATAGGCTACTAAAGTGGTGAGCCAATTTAAAATCGTTAGTTTCGTATTGATTGTTGGTTTGACTGCGTGGTAATGGACGACGAAACCTACGTCAAAGCCGACTACAAGCAGCTTCCGGGACAGGAGTTTTATACGGCAAAAGGAAGGGGAAAGGTAGCAGATGTTTTCAAGCACATGAAACTGTCAAAGTTCGCAAAGAAATATCTGGTTTGGCAAGCCATCTGTACCTGTGGCTTGAAAAGCAGCATTTTCATAGCTTCCGGGACTGTCAACCAAGAAATTTACGTGAAAGAGTGTTTGAATAAACGTCTGCTGCCTTTCCTGAAGAAACACGGTTGTTCCATAGAGGTAACTCTAAGACCACTGGGTCCCGAAGAAAATCATTATTATTTTTGGCTCAC